GGCGGGCGGGCGATGAGACGGCGACGGGGAGCGCTTGTGTGTTCGCTTTTGGTGCGGGCTGCGGGCGGTGGCGTCGCGAAGTGCCTGCGTCTGCGCGCGTGGGAATGGAGGCGGGGCGTGGGCGGGGGCGGGGAGGGAGAGATTGGTAGGGCTCGCCTGGTGCAGGTGGGTGGGACGGGTTGATGACGGCGGGAGTACTACGAGCGAGCGCCTACCTACCTGGCACTGCCTGCCAGGCTTGTTGGCTTGGCTCGCCGAGCCAAGCGGCAAGGCAACCGGCGCCAGCTGGTCCGCGCACCCCTTTCTCGCGTGTTGCGTATCGTGTGTGCGCTTCTCTCTCTCTCTCTCTCTTTTCTTTTAGCCGAAAAGGAAGTCGCGCCTCATGTGGCGACAAGATGAGGCTTTGGGTTCCTCCGTACCCAACTGCGCAACCCGAAAATTCCAGAAGCGGGGCGCGTTATACGCACGGAAACGCGTACGTACACACAACCGTTCTTTTTTTTTTTGCTGGAAATACGTACACACAACCATTTCACATATACACAACGCCTACGAAAACAGACGTTTGCGAACTTGATGAACGATATAAAATTGGGTTAAGCGTAATTGAAATTAGGGCAACTCCAACTACCTACATCGTTGACGGACAGTCGGGCACATCAAATGTTCGTGCACACGTTTGGACATATCCATGGACAGTGATATGGGAGACGGCCATCTAGCCATAGACGTCAAATAAGCATCAAATTTTTTTTTCTTTTTTCCTCGCCAACTCATAGCTTTGCTTTTATATGACTTTGCTTGTCGCCGGTGAGTTTTCGCATATGTGTGAGTTGATGTTGGTTGTGTGCATTCTAGTTATGCAGAGGCCGGGTGTGTGCTCATTATGTTATGTATCTTCTTGATGCCTCGTTTTGAGCCAATTAAATTCACCCTTTGTAAAAAAAAGCATCAAATCTGGATAGCAGGGTGGGTTATGTGGACCTAGATGAAAAAAATACATGAGGTGTGGGAAGATATAGTCCAACTGACATGTGAGCCAGTGGACGCCCGGACTCCCCAATCAAATATCCTATATGACGCATTCTACGTCGAGTTGTCGTGTTTTCACACAAGACTTGTGACTGAGCGATCATCTCGACCGGCCTTTTAGCATTTCCGTTTTTGGGTTTTTTTGGTTTCGGGAACCTTCTAGGGGTCTTTTTTGTGTTTCTTTTTCATTTTCCTCTTTTTTTCCTTTTTAACTTTATTTTTTTCATTTAAAAATGTTTGCATTTTTTTAAAATCCCTATCATAAATAGTTTAGAACTTCAAAAAATATTTTCAAACAAACTACAATTTCAAAAAAATTGTTTTTTGAAAAAAATGGGAATTTTAAAAAAAATCTGCTTTTCAAAAATTCTTCAAAAGTTTAAAAATGTTCTTGTTTTCAGTTTTTGTTCATGAATTCAAAACATGTTCGTGATTTTAAAACACAAATTTGGAAAAATGTTTGCCTTTTCCAAATTTTGTTCACAAATTTCAAAAAATGTTGTCGGTTGTCAAATTTTGTTCCCGTTGTTCAAACAATACTTGAAATGTAAACAATGTTTGGAATTTCAAAAATTGTTCCCTTTTCAAAAAAGTTTTAAATTTCAAAATTTGTTTGCATTGTTCGAAAAATGTTTGGATTTTCAAACATTACTTTCACTTTAAAATTCCTTTAGAATTTTGAAGAAATGTTCGGGGTTTTTTAAAGGTGTTCGGATCTGGCGCTACAATTAGTTCATATACTTCCGTGCCGCTGGTTAGTCGCACATAGTCATGTACTCCACTAGCTAGAGACAATTTGTCCTCAATGAAAGGCATGGAGTTCGATTTTTGGTGACCGCATTCCTTTTTCTGAATTTTTCTGTTGTGCTACAAGGCCAACGGGCATGAACGCCAATGGGTCGGCCCAGTCGGGCCTCGGGTACGTCATGAGCCTATTTGAAGCAAAATGCGTCAGATAGGAGCTCCCTCCCCAAACCTCCACCGAGCTTGATACTAGTATTGGGGAATTCAGACGCCCGGACCGCCCCGCGGAGGTTTTGTACACGCCATTGGATGGGAAAAGTGTGGACCATGTCATTCAGACTTTTAGGAGTGTTTTGATGTTTGGTGTTGGAGTTATCCTTACCATCATTGAAAGTGCTAGTTATTGACTAGAGAGGGGTGAATAGTCGATTTTTATGAAAGTCTTCAAATCATGTAATGTCTTCGAAGACACGGTTAAATAATACCTAAACAGGATACAGCGAAAAATAAACTACTCTAGCCATGCAACAGTCAAGGTACGGTACAGAGAAAGCACGGAGACAAGTAGCAGCTACGTAGAACAGATCGGAATAGGAAGACACTATGAAGCCAAATATGTAATCAAGGGTGAATGTCTTCACACAATAAATTCAACCAGAGCAGGCAAGCAATGACTTCACGAAGCTAAATAGTAAGTAAGGGGTGAAGTGATAGAACGAGTTGCTTGACAAAGACAATAATTTTGTAGACCAGTTTCAGTTGCTGTAACAACTATACGTCTGGTTTGGGAGGCTCAGATCGAACTCGGAATACCACGTCTTCACCTTATTCCCCTTGAGCTAAGGTCACTTAGTCCTTGCCCAATCACTCAAGTAAGTCTTCAAGGTAGACTTCCAAACCTTCATAGATTTCGTTCACCGGCAATCCACAATGACTCTTGGATGCTCAGAACGCGACGCATATGAAGGAAATATGCCCTAGAGGCAATAATAAAATTGTTATTTTATATTTCCTTATATCATGATAAATGTTTATTATTCATGCTAGAATTTTATTAACCGGAAACTTGATACATGTGTGGATACATAGACAAAACACAGTCTCCCTAGTAAGCCTCTACTAGACTAGCTCAATAATCAAAGATGGTTAAGTTTTCTAACCATAGACATGTGTTGTCATTTGATGAATGGGACCACATCATTAGGAGAATGATTTGATGGACAAGACCCATCCGTTAGCTTAGCATATTGATCATTCAGTTTTATTGCTATTGCTTTCTTCATGTCAAATACATATTCCTTTGACTATGAGATTATGCAACTCCCGGATATCGGAGGAATACCTTGTGTGCTATCAAACGTCACA